CATATTGCTTAATATAGTATAATGGGTACGTATAATATAATATATTACATTATGTACGTTATAATTCACCATAATATGCGAGTTTGTTCGAGGTAGTATAAAAATGCCACCAATGTTAAAAAATGACGGCAAACGCGTCTGTGTAGCAGCAAGAAATTTTCCAGAGCTGCAGATTTTTTTCTTTTTTTCATTTTATTTCGATCGGTCTCTTTCACCAGTGATACTGCTTACTAGTAGGTTTACAAATCGTGCTAAATTCAATTGGTATAGGAGTGTCACACTTGAACACAACACACAATGATGGTATAAAAATAACCTATCGTACGGCATTAAGATTTCGTATATTAAACAAAATATTAAATTGTGTGGATCATAGTGAAGTTAGTAAGTAGTGAAGTTGTGAATATGGGGTGGTTGTAATCATCGATGGTTTGACACTTTTTCCTCCCCCCCCCCAAAAAAAAACACTGACCGACTACTACCACAACGCCGCATGATCACGTCTGCCAGCACACCCCGACGAAGACTAGAGTATGGTTGTTTCCTTGGAGAGTGGGACGAACACGCGGCGGCCCCTTAAACCCATGCACGAGAGGTCGAAGGGGTGGTCGCTAATTTATTATTTATACGAATACCGAATTCACACCCCCCTTACTCATCACTCCACTGAGCCAACTACACCACCACCACCCGCTATTACGCCGGTGGTGTTAGATGGCGAGTAAAATACTTTTATTTAATATTTTTCCGTAAGACCACCTTAATATTATGAATTATAGTACATATTAAAGTTTATGTTGTCTTATATTTTGTTAGAATTACAGACGACATTCGTAATAAACGTCAAAATAATCGAACGCTATCCATGTGTCTACCACATATATTAGCAATTACAAAGAAAAACAAAAATACGCATATACCGAACATCTTTACGATCTTCGGCAATAATAATAGAATATTACAGTCTACAAACGAAAATAATAATATGGTAGATACTCGTCGAGTGGTCATCCAAGGTGGCCGAGATGATACCCCTCACTAAAATAAAAGCGCAGTAGAAAAAAAAACAGCTATATCTAATCCTTACCTATGTATGTACGTATAAATGATAAGTTATCGGTTTTCTTTTTTACATTATGTTGAACAGCGGAAACTCGGTTTTATTTTATTACAAGTTCAAGTCGAGATCCGGTAATTCACTGAGATAGTGGTTGGAAGTGTAATATAACAAAAATACACAATTACCGGATAATAAAATTGTGTGCATGCCGTTTTGACTAGGATGTTTTATACGTTGACAAGCAAATTTAAATTTAGATTGTATGATAACACTTTAAATTGATTATTAATATTGTTTGTGAGCGAATGAAAAAAAATGCACATAAACGTGTAACAATGAGTGAAGATATTAGAAAATAAAAATTAAAACACATAAAACTTTAAAACTATAGAGGTACCTATAAAGTTTTTATTCTGTACGAAAAAAAAAAAACAGTAATAAAGACAGGTGATAATATACATAGAGTAAACGTTTATTAATTAATATAAAATGATTAAAATGTAAACTCGATTTATAACTGCCATCAAATGCTAAAGCTAATTTCTCTAAAATAAATTTACCTAGGTAGGTAGCGTATATTAATGGATTTTATGTCATAAAGAATTTATCTGCAATGAATAATAATTAAAGTTTGTGAATGAAATAATTATCGTTGTTATGCAGTATTAAAACTGTTCTCATATTATGATTAATAATAAAAAAAAGATACTAATTGTTTCATATTAGAAAATATTCACCCTATCTACTTGCATTAATTTTTTTAATAGAACTTATTAAATATTTATACGAAATTGAAAATCACAGTAAACACTAAATAATAAACCTAAAGTTTTGTTTAAATATCAGCCATAATTTTGTTTTAAATTTAAATGAAATTGATTATACTATGTCTTATTTTAATCAGCATAAAAGATATACTAAGATAGTAAGTATCCCTGCCTATAAAACAATAAACAGTATCCTTAATTCCAGTAAAAAAAAATAAACAGCAATAATATTATGCACGTTATAGTTTTTAATGGCATCTAAATTCTAAAAATAGTCTACATTTTTAAGTACCGTGTCGAATGATAGAGTTTTATAAGAACATTAATTGTAAGGCGTATTTAAATAAAAAATAATAATAATAAACCGAATAAAAAAAAAGAACTACAATTTTTCAATGAGATAAATTTTCAATATATTAATGATACACGACGTTATCTACAATGATATCTATACATTTTAAAAAACTTACATTACATCTCTTGGCAATTTTTTTGGTAAATTTTCTCACAGAACTTTCAGAACATAGGATGTATAAATCACGATCGTCTTATCAAATTCTATAGATCCATTATGTTTCCCGGGGGTGAGCGGGGGTACGAGAAGAGGTTATGAGATAAAAACGGAAAAAAAATATAGAAAGAAAAAAAAACTTCTCCGTTTGTTTCCCCTGCTCACCGGTCGGGAGAACTCTTTTTACAGCGTTGCTGAGTGCGTCCGGAGGAATCATGAACATTCATCAAATTCCCAAGGTTAACACACACTCGGACAAACTCCCTCTGTTCGGACACACGCGGATGGATCGAAACCGGTTACGGTCGAGGCCCGCGAGAAGAGAATATTATTATCGGTTGGAAAAAAAAATAATAATAAATATATTTAATATTAAAATTCGTTTTATTAGGCAGGTAGTTTATTTCTTTATATTAAAAAAAAAGTTCACTTTTGTCATCTCCGCCTCCGCAACCCGCACTCTAAAGGGTGTACACCACATGTTATTATACGCCGAGACAAGTGGCTACAGGGAATACGTCTTAAAAAGTGATGAAAATCGCTTAAATATAAAGGCATTCAGGCTGCTCAAGAAAAAGAAGAGAAGAAGCGTCATCGTGCGTTGTAGCAAACGTGTATGCGTCTATTATGTGTGGCTACAGTAATCATGTATTAACATATTCTATATCTTGTAAAATTTTGTTAAAATAATATGATATATCTGGACAGTTTTTAAAAGTGAAAAATTAACCAAATCGTGTATTATTGTATATATATATATATATATATATGTCGTTTTATAGAATATTATGTGTACCAACTTCATAGCGAAGCAAACGACAGTCCGTTAGCCGATATTATATTTCTAACAACTGTATTAAAATTTTCTCAGATTTAATTTAATTTTTTTTTTTTTTCATACACAACGATGACTTACGTCGAGTTCATTATCATAGCAATATCATGTAGTAGACAATAAAATTAGCAATAAACGCAAAGTTATCACTTATTATTATGATTTTCAAAACGTTCGGTATTTAATAATAATAAAAATCGTGTCGCGTTGGATAGCTACTATGTATTTCGTCCAACACGATTTAGACGATGACAAAGAAAATAATACTATGTATATTATTTTTATAGGTACATATTACATAAGCCAAGTAGTGTGCGTTAAGAAAAAAATATATACCTATTTAAAGAACGAGTTAAGATAACTAGAATGAGTATTTTCTAGTAAATTCTTTATTATGAGCCTCGATAATCACCTTTGTATCAACGACTCGTTTAGTATGGTATTTAATGGAATTAAGAATCAATTTTCGAATATCACTGTTCGGGGCTCCCAGCCCCCAGGTCTAAGAAAAATATTTCTATATTGACTCGCCAATTTTCCCGGTGTTCAAGCACCGACGACAATCAATTATAATCAAACGGGAAATTTTTAAAACAGTTACGCGGTGAATTGGAAAAATCGGTGGACCCGCCAAACCATTTTAGAGTTTACAGTGAGTCCCACAAACTACCCCGCCATCGACGCTGACTTATTACAGAAGCCATGCCGCGGTTGTCGAACGTTCGGATCACCCGTTAATTTAAAGTTTTTCGACGACGGTAAAACGTCCATCCAATTGAACGACCGTTTGCATTGAAATACATACACTGGTGTCACCTCGATCCATGCCGAGTACAATAATTAATATCATCAAATAATATATAATATACCTTTCGCGAATGGGTCACCTAGGTATGTTTCTGATTTTACCGGCCGTTTAGACATAATAGGACGCGGAAATAAATCGAAAACAGATAAAAGTCATCGTATAATTATTATTCAGAAATCACGGATTACATTAGACACATCGCCGTCGATGGAACGTAAGCGGCGGGGGGATAAGACCTACCGCCCTGACCCATAGCTCACTACAGCAGTACTACTATCTTCTCGTCAAGTTCAATGTTTCTTTCATCACGGATATTTCCATCACGTCTGTCACTGCTCATTATCGAAACGAGTTTTCGTACCGCGGGGGGAACCGCACACACACACACGCATTAAAATCGGTAGGTAGGTGGGTTAAAAATTATATTACGCGTACACGCGTACACACACACATATACCACTAATTTTGTGTTTCTCACGAGAAAACTCAAGGAAACAATAATATGTAAAATGGTCTCGGCACAACGCGTCCGAAACGATTAAATAATAATAATAATCATAATTACAGTACAATAATAATTGTAATAAGCGACACAAATTTCAATTATTATATATCATAATAATATAGGCAATAATAATACATTAATAATTCATGGTAAAAAGAGCAATAATATATTATATTATAACATTTTATTTAAAACCGACGGGGTCCGAAACAACTACAGTGTACCCAGTGCAAAAATACACCTAAATAAATACATCAGTGTTTTTGTCCAAAGTCAATAACAATACATACGTATATTATATATATACTGGGGTACACGCGCGTTCGGTGCGGTCTATATATTTTGCTACCGGGGAGGGGGGGATGATAGTTTTGCGTTGGCGTCTTGGAGGGTAGCCAGCGCCAAATAGTCGAGGGGTTTCCGGAAGTAGGGGTCGTTGGGTTGGAGAGAGGGTTGATGGGCTTTGGGCACGGGTAATTGTCACGTCGGACGGGTGGTAGATAGGTGTACTCACATTGAATTCGACGTGTTCCAGTGCACGGTGAATGACTTGGTGCAATCGCTGACGGTGGACAGCAGGACCGTCTCGAAGCAGATGAGCAGGACCAGCGTGAGGCACGACGTGATCTTAGTGCACGACACGCCGCGCATGGTCGTTGACGCGGGCCGTCGCCCGGCGGTCGCGGACGGCGATGGCGAGAAGTACGGCAGGCAGCCCGGCAGCCCCGGGAACCCGAACAGGTTGTCGAACAGAACCATGTCGCAGCGGAGGCGGTGGTCAATGCGATGTCGCGGTCTCGACAAAAACCAAAAAAAATCGCTCTCGTCGACGACGCGGACAGCGGACTCGACGGGAGCCCGAGAGAAAGAGAGTGTGAGATGTCCTCCTCGGACGGTTCTCCGCTGCGTGTGCCCGCCGCGGACGGGATTACGCACACACACGCGAGTGTCGTTAACAACGAGTCGGCACGGCGGCGGTCGAGACGTAGTCACGTCTGTCGTGCGCGGCTACGGCGTTTGCCCACGGCCGGAGCATAGTGTTTGCCGAAGTGTCGGATACGACAATGTCGCGTGCGAGTGTTGCGACGGCGGTGGTCGCGCGGCAAAAACAATCGTCGTCCAGAGGAGGAGCGCCAGCCAACAGCTCAAGTCTAATTATCTTAATACGATTACCGATGTGTTGCACGCAAGATGAGCGTGTGTCGATAATGGCAAAAAACGTGTCCGAGAGCGACGGATAGTAATAGTGCGGAAACGATAAAGAATAAAACAAATCGACTGAAAACAACCGACGACGACGGCAGCGGCGGCGGCGGACGGACGGACGGACGCGCGAATGCAATGCACAGACACAAAATTACACCACTCGGTAGGGCCGACGATACGATACTGACGGCGAATGCGTTCTTGCTGTGAACGCCGCACGCGCAACGGTCCGGCAACGCCGCGTGCCCAACACGGCGGCGTCCCCTCTACCCTTTCCCCCACACCGGCCCCTTACCAACGCTACAGCCGCCGACGCTTCACCCGGCACCCCGAGGCACGACGACGATACTCGGCGGCGGCAGCGATACCGGCGCAGCCTGACGGTCTACGACCGACACGCCATCTCCACGACGGCGATATTATCATCCTATCGTTGTTGTTGTTGTCGTCGTCGTCGTCGTCTTTATAACGAGGTGCCTATACTCACAATAGTTAGAGTTCAAGTTGAAATAATAATGACAGGTAATAATATCGCGTTTGAATTATTGTGATGGGTGATCGAAAAGCCGGGACGCGCGAGGACGTATAGCTATATCATCTATTTTTACAGAGATTAATTGTTTAAACATGGATTATCCCCGAAATTTTCCCAGAAATAATAACGTTAATCATTGTTTTGCGGTGTTTGTTTACCGACTAGAATTATTCGGTTAGAGTCCCTAATTCGCGAAAAAACCAAGCGCTTATAATATTATCTCGACAAAATGATATAAAAACGATTTTCGCAGATTAAACATACTGCGAAATCCAAACTGTTATAAAATGCGTTTCTTCAGACTTTTCCTAGTAAAAAGGGTTTAATAGATGTTATTTATTTTGTCTTAACGATGGTCTCGATTCAATGGCCGTCATTAAATATTAATTGTCGTGCAGCACAAACGCGACGTTATAAATTCGTGTATATAAAAACATATTTTTAATGTCGAACGTCAAAATTTCGGATCGGACATGCGAGCGACCGAGATCGAATATTGAGAAACGCCGTGTGAGCTGTACAGAATAATACCGCGCGGCAATGTTTAAATATCATATAATAATCAAAAGAATTTTACACCCTCGTGGGCAGTCTTTTTCATCTAATCGTCTTACAAACGTATAGGTACGGAGTTGGTAAATTTATGTTCGGCGAAATCATTTTTGTGCTGTTAAAGTTTTAATATTAAAGTCGAGTAAAATTGAGCAAATATGTGTATATCAAGTTCTAAAATTAAAATACGTTAGTATATTATATATCTATTTTTGTACCTACATCAATTTTTATGATATTTCAATTATTGTTAAACAATTATTTAAAGTACCCGTGTAAAATAGATATTACGATTAATTAATGATGCTCATAATTTGTTTAAAAATTAAATTATCGTAAAAACCAGACAATGTTTTTACTACATAATTACAATTAGCTCGTCATTTATAAAAGGTAGGTACTCGACTAAAATAAATAGTAACTTCCAACTTCGCTATATGCCGATACTGTGATTTTTTTATCATATATTCATAAATTGTATTTTGTAAACTGAAAAAACTATTTTCATAATGCTTAATAGTTAATGAGCTGAATAGACCAAAAAGTCAAAGAATAGAATCATTTTTATTTCGGACGAACAACTCCAGTAATCCGTCATTCCACCCATCACGAGCAGTTCTTACAACGTACATTCTTAAGATAGAATTCTTTCTCAAATGTTTTTTTTTCTAAATGTTTGCTTTCAAGTCGCCACCGTCTGTCCTCCGTAAGCCGGATACATGTGTACTATATGACGCATAGCGTAAGTATTACTAGTACCTATTAGCGTGTCGTCATTGTCACACGTCATGTACCTCCACAATAATATGGATACACAACTTTTTGCATTGTAAACCATTAACTTAACAAATTTTTAATAAAAAAGGTAAAACGTGTGTGGTAAAGGGCGTGCATTACCGCACGGGTATTATTCGAGTAGGTAGAACGATACATTTGTCCCTGCTTCAACACTTATAAATAAAATAGGATGCAAAAAAAGTAAAAATAATGATTCAAGTGAGTAAACTTATAATTATAAATACGTATTATTACAATTTTCAATGCAATTATGTTTTACCAATGCCTGCAGTTTTTCTGAATTTGTATTCCTATATTTTAAAATTATATAATTTGCAGTTTAAATGTTAAAATAATGAGTGTAATAAAAAAAAATAAAAATATTAATAAAGTATTTTGTTAGCGTTATACGTTTAAGAAAAATATTTTTTTATTATTTCATTCTGTAGAGTAAGATTTTTTTTGTAATTTGTATTTATTAAATTTATGATAGAAATTATTTTTTAATTTTAAATTTATTTAGACTTGAGCGATTGACTCGTTTTAATTAAAATGAGCTACGTCAGTGGTTTTTTTTATTAAATTGTAAATTACCTATTGAGGATATTTTATACTTTCACAGATATTTTAGTGATATAAAAAGAAACATAATTAATTTAAAAATGTAAAATTATTAACTAAGTATGATTTAGGAGGTTGGCTGTGATAAATGTCTGCATATGGATTTTCTACAGTAAAATTAATCAATTTTATTCTAATCTAATAAATGCCAATCGATCATAACATGTTGGGTTAAAAATTTTATATAGTGAAATGATTGGTGACAGTTGAAGACGATTCCATAATGTACTATTTTATACTTAATGTATCGTTTTTGCAATGTTTTCTACAAAATACTGAGCGAACGTTTGTTCATATTATAATTTATAGGATACCTATGCAATAAGACTCAACCTACTGCTCTTGCTGCTCCGTTGTGTACCTAGGCTATACATATTAATCGTACATTTCATCTATAAACCGATTTGTGTTTATCTTTTTTTTTTTGTCTCTCGAAAATCGTCAGTTATTTTAACATAATTATTCGATAGGTTATGTACGCGTGATCCTATCTTGACGGTTATAGAATAATAATGTACGTGGGCACGAATCGTAGTCGATGAAGAATAACTACACAATACGATACGATCCGCGCCATACCTATTGATGGGTAGGTTCGCATTTTAAAATATACATATAGGTAATACTTTCCATCATCATTGAGAATATTTATTTTTCTGTTTGAGATCGTATCTTTTGCCGGATTTGTAAAATTTAATATTCTGAAATTAGTGGGTAACGAATAATTATATAAATATAATTTTATCCATTTCATCAATAATTATCTTTGAACAAATCGATAGAAAAAAAAACCAAATTGGTTAGTTCCTTAAAAAATATTGTTAAGTTCTTTCTCAACCAAATAGGTAATAGGTATACAATATTTAATAATAAAATATTGTATAATGTATAATATATTGTTTTCGATTGTTTCTACTAGGGTATTAAATCAAAAACGATAATCACATCTCGTATATATCAATTTTAGTTTTGATAATATAAAATACAAGTTTAAATAATACCTAAGTTTTACAGTGAGACAAAGTGAATTAAGTTTTAATTATTTGTAATATTAATAAATTATAATTTACCATAATAGAAGCTTGTTATAAATAAACATCACGTACTATTTATAGGTTTAAGTATGTTAAGTTTTGAAAACAATTTGTTGATCAGAAATCAGAACTTAGAATATTGTTAAGCTGTAATTATGTAATTATATTATTATAGTATTGTCCATGTGATGACGGATTTTTCGAATAAAAAAAAAAAAACTAGAATGTTTTGAAATGGTTTTAATGTTTTTTTTTTTTATTCATTATAATATAACTTTTATTGACGCTCCTACTATTTAGCAAATAAAAATAAAATTATTAAAATGTTCAACAAGTATTTACCAAGCTATTAACATTTAGAAGGCGAATTTATAATACCTGCATTAATACTTTATAGATAATAACCATTAACCATAGAAATGTTTTAAATTGTAATTTTAATAATATAGTTTTATTTTGAGTTCTTAAGTTGCATGTAATATTGGGATATGTTGTAAAAAACGGCGATTAAATATTTATAACTAGTTTTATGATAATGATATATTTATATAAGTGTGTGTGTGTGTGTGTGTGTGTGTGTGTGTGTGTGTGTGTGTGTAATGTATACATTGTAAATATGTATTTTTTTGTTATTGAATAATTAATTCATAATTTATTACCCTTCGTAGTAAAATATAGCACTGTAGTAGTAAATTATTTTGAAGTTATCATATTACAGAAAAGTGTTATTGAATAGGTACACTTTTAAACGTAAAACTTATGAGTGTAGATACAGACTTTTAGATGAAAATGTTATTGGTTACTGTAATTATGTGTATGAATATGACTATTAGATCATATGGGTAGTAAGTTTTAACTATTTGAATGAAGCACTTTAATGGATTTAATATGTTCATGCTAATAAAAACATCACTTCTGCAGTGTTATGAAGTATTTTGTCGTTTGTTCTACACATAAAATAGTTGTACCTATGACTTACGTTAAATATATGTTAGATAAGAAATAAACAGATACTTCGCAATATTTAAAATAAGATAGGTATTAAATGGAATTTTAATGAAATTTTAACATGAATTCCTTATACAAATAGACTTAGTTATAAATCATTAAAATGATAAAGCGGTTGACTAATAAATTGATAAAATATAATAATATTCAATACAAAAATCGAAAACTATATTTTTCTTTTTATTAGATAGCTAGTAATTTTACCTATTTTATTTTATTTTATTTGTAGTAGTAGTAGTAGTAGTAATACAACAATTATTATTCATTTTTGTATTTCATATAAATAAACAAAACATTCATTAAATACTATCCGTCGGTTATTTCTCCTTTATTTTTTCAACACTTCAATGAATATTATTAACATTAACACACATATTATTAATAGTTACACTTAACTTAACACCTATACATTTCATATAATACGATAATAATTGTAAATAAGGTTTTGAATTTGTAATGCAAAACGATTTACTAATAAGTAATGATAATATTTTACAAGAATGCACAGACACTAAATGTAAATTTAAATTTGGTTTTCACGCCTTTGCTATAACATAACATTTTGTAATTTAATTGAATTCATTGTTTTTTACTTATGAGATTACGGAGGCGTATAGTTTGCCTTTCGCCACACTAATACAAAATCA